ATATTTCATGAAGAAATGAGCTTAAAAACTGACTCCACATATTCGATAGACTGGTTAACTGAATTTTAAAACCGTCTGGGTATAATGCAATTAAAATTTTTAGATGAAAAAGCTTCAGCTCATACTGAAGCTGTTGAACTATTTGCAGATGAATTCATTGAACTCATTAATAATGAAATGTTATCTCCAGGACAAATTTACAACACTGATGAAACTGGTCTTTTCTGCAATATGTACTTTGAAATACCTCGGCAACCTCTGCTCCAACTGGTGTCAAAGATTCCAAAGCTAGACTAACAATTTTAGCAGGCGCAAATGCTGCAGGAACATACAAGTGTAAACTTTTTGTAATCTAAAAAAATACACGACCTCGAGCATTTAAAGGAGTAAAGGTTTTTCCATTATATATCATGCAAATAAAAAGAGCATGGATAACACTTGCGTTAATATATGATTGGTCTGAAAATCATTTCATACCTGAGGCACGGCAAAATTTGAATTCGGTTGGCTAACCTGATGATGCAAAAATTGCCCTGATTGTAGATAACTGTTCGACTCATATTTCACTCAAAGTTTCAATGAAAAATATTGTATCTGTGTTATTCTTTCCTCCAAACTGTATGTCCATCATTCAGCCTATGGATATCAGAATAGTGCACGCGCTGAAGTTCAAATATAAATAGCATTTTTAAAATCCATATTAAATTTCTTGAATAATGTCAAAAATTTTTGAAATATTTTAACATATAATCTGCTTTGTGAAGCATTACAAGCTCGTGGGAGAATGTGCCTCTAGGTACTTTAAAAAATGCTTGACATAATTTATGGCCAGCTACCATATTGGTGAAGATTATGAAGATGATAACCACGAATTTCAAGGCTTTCGGATATCGCAAGCCACAGCTGAAATTTTCCAATTAATGGATTTTTTAAAGAATTTTGGAGAAGTGGTAATAAATGAATAACAGTTTTTCATTGTTTTGATAATGTTCCAATCATCAATCAATTAACGGACGGCAGATATAGAAAATACCGCTACGAATAGTGAAGATAATAACAGAGAGGTCATTGAAAACGAAAATATTCGATTGACAAGTTAGTTGGAATTCTCGACACAGCAGTTACAGGACTTGAACAATGGAGCTTTGTAACTGAATAAGAAATTATGTCTGTCTACAGAAATAAAGAAATAATATTAACACAAAAAAGAAACTTAAACAATTTACACTGAAAGAAATGTTTAACAAAATAAACAAATAAATATTAAGCTTTTTTTTTGTAAATTTTGTTACCCTTTAGATCATAAATACTTCATTATGTCATAAATCATGATTTCATATTTTTTATTTTATGATTTCTACCTGTTATCTTACTAGATTTGAAGTATGATCTAATACCCAGAAAAATGCCAAATCCGGAATCGCCGAAGTCCCGACGAGTCAGGATCTCAGACTTCGACTGTAGTATTTATAATTTAATGAAGTTATAGAGAATATAAAGGAAATTATTTCCTAGGAAATTTGAAGTGAAATTTAGAATGCAAGTGTGCAGTATTGTGGTGAAAATAATTGGCAATTTAGAAAGCTAATGAGCACTATTGTGGTGATAATTAATTGGAATTTATAAATAAATACACTGGAATGTCAGTTAAAATGCAAAGAGCATATAAGCTTTCTAAATTGCCAATTTTTGAATTTCCTAGGAGGTTTATATTCTTTATAGCTTTATTAAATTAAGTATTATCTTTGTAGCAATTATACAGGATTTTAATTTTTTCTCCTTTTGAATAAATTTTAAATTTGCTAATTTTAACTTCAATAAATAATATATAGATCTTTTGGTATTAATATAAGGTGTAATCTACTGGTTTATTTCTTAGATGGTGCTACTAAAATGCTATTTTTAAATATGAAAATGAGTACAAATAATTGAATACATAAATGAAAATGGTTCCATTGATTAATTTAATAGCTTATTAAATTTTTAATTCCATTAAATTTAAATTGCTTCCAAGGCCCATTTTTATGAGTCTTTGAGCTCTGCGTGCCATAAATGTTGTGCAAAAGGCTGCTTTTTTGAGTGTTTTAGCTAAATGTACTGTGAATTGGTTGCATCGATTAACTAAAAATACTTATTACCTTTTTTAAGGAATTTCCACCATGCTTCTGTGACACAAGGAGCATTTGTGGTGTGCAAATCCAGGTGTTGTGTAAAATTTGTAACTTCAAAATCCCCCAGCATGATTCAGTTATTTGAATATTAATACTGTGTGCTGGGTTCATTAAGTTCTTTTGGTGCTCACAGTTTGATCGTAAAAGTAGCAGATCGCATATTATGTCAATACCAAATTTTTTATTAAAAATTAGAGTAATTCTTTGAATTGTAATAAAATTTCCTCATTTGAAAAGCAGTTATTATATATGTTATTATATATGTTAGAGTTATTATGAAAAAGTATTAATGTCATAATTAAAAATGTTATACAGTACAAAAACTTTAATCCGGAATGATCTATAATCCGGACCTCAAAGCTACAAACTTTCTGTGCATGCGTAAACGCATTAATGCGTTTATGCTTGCGCATATGCATTTACGCATACGTGTTTGACATATGAAAATATGACTTATGTAAATGTTGACTATTGATCATCTCTTTCTCCTTGAAATGCTTTACTGCATCATCTCTCCTCCTTGAAATGTTTATTAGGTTTAGTTCTTATTTTAATGTAATATAGTAGTTACTTCTACTTCTTTTTCTTACTGCCACTGTTTGCATTGAGAACGGACTGTTTCAACCTAATTAAGATGCAAAAACGAAATGTGATGTTACGTCATCTGGAAAGCTGAATCGTGCCGATAGCTGATTAGTTGCCATGAGATGACGTCATGCCTACTTCTGCTATAAGTATCTTGCATCGCTCTGGCTCAACCCTTCTAGTTCCTGCTTTCCTGGCACTTGGGTGTGCGGTTTCCAGCCCCTTCATTGAAAAGTCTTGCAATGCTTGCAGTCCGGGGTAGTCCGGCTTCCAATCTACAAGATGGTTTTTCCCGGATAAGTTCCTTGGTTCCAGTCCAAGATGGTTTTTCCCGAAGGTTCCTGTCCAGTCTAGAAGATGATTGTTCCAGAATAAGTTCCTTGGTTCCTGTATACAAGATGATTGTTCCAGATTAAGTTCCTTAATTCCAGAGGCTGCCATGTGAGTGACTGCTGTGGGCGGCATCCATGTTCTTCATGAAGGTGGTATTTAAAATACATTAGCGGCGATTCCTCGTGTTCAACTAATGTAAACGGAGTTAGGCCGGTTTTTAAGTGCTTTCAAGAACTTGATTTAATTTTCAGGTGTTTTCTTGACCATTGATCATGGACTTATTGAATGTGTAGCCAATTTCATGTGAGGCCGCATAATTACTGTTTAGGACATTTTGTTTGTATTGAATGCCAGTGTTTTTGGAGACCAGGTAAAAATATTTTTTGATGAATGATGGTTATATTATATTTTTCCTAAGACTCTGATATTGTTTAAATTTATTTTCTGTGTTTTTATTCTTTATTATATTGTTAATAAATTGGTTAAGTTTGAAACCTTTTTATTGTCTTCAATGTCTGCACAACATATTATTTCAGAGAGCTTTTATTGCTACTATTGCTAAATGTTTTATAAACTAACTTTACTAAACTTTAATTAATTTTATAAACTTTAAACTTTGCTTTAGCATCATTTTGGTTATGGGCCACAGCCCCTGAGTTATTTTTAGTTCAGACTTTTGAAGTTTAAAGTTAATTTAGGACTTAAGAGATTGGGGGGCGGTGTTTGTTAAAATTCAAATATGGCTACTGTTAGTGTAATGCATAATATTGCTAAACTTGAGGCATGTAATTACTTTACATGGTCCAAAGATATGAAGTTTGTTTTAACTGAAAAAAATGCATGGCTTTTGGTCAAGAGTATTGAAATATGTCCTGATTTAAATGATGTTAAGGGTATTACAAAAGAAATTATTGCCGACTATCAAAATAGAAGTCGATTGGCATTATCATTAATTTATATGAATGCAAGCCCTGAATATAGAAGTTTGATAAGTGAAATTGATGACCCAGTAGTGGCATGGAATACGCTTGCCACATACTTTCAGCCAGATTATTGATCAAGACATATGTCCCATTTTCAGAGTTCTTAAATTGTAAAATTAAGCCAAATGAAAGTATTAGTTTCTTTTCTTCTAGATTAAAATGCGTAACTGAACAGTTGGCTGATATTAATCAGGCTGTAAGAGACATATATATATGTTTCCAGTTTCTTAGGTTCCTTCCAGATAAATTTGATCAAGTAGTTCAGAATGTTTTGAGGTGACCAGATGAAAAGTTCATTTTTAAAAATTTTTTCTTACCATATTTAAATTGATGGTCTATAATCTGGAAAAAACCCTAATCCGGAATAGCCGAAGTCTTGACGAGTCCGGATTAAAGACTTTGTACTGTATATTTCATTTATTACAATAGGCCTTGTTTGAAAAGTATATTGAGTAGCAGATTGCATACTACATCAATACCAAATTTTGTATTAAAAATTATGGTAATATCTTGAATTTTATTAGAAGTTCCTCATATTTGAAAAGCAGTGTTTCTGTTGGAGTTACTATAAAAAATATTAATGTCATGATTCAAACTGTTATGCATTTCATGTATTACAATATAGACCTTGTTTGAAAAGTATATTGTTGATGTGATGGAATGTAATGAAGTAAATATTTAAATGTAAATGAGAATCTGCATCTTTTAATAATATTTTGAAGACCAAATTTATAAAATAATTAATTTTAATTTGATTATTTATTATATGAATATTTTAATTTTTTGCACTGCACAATATTGCTGATCTCTCCCCCCCCACACACACACTTGACACAGACATTTACTTACTTTGCAGTGTTTTATTTGTGTAATAATTATCTAATCGCTATTTTTCTCTTAATTAAATTTTTATTAATTTTCTTTTTAGGGAATTTTGTTCTCGATTCCACAGAGAAGATACAATACTCTTTGTATTAAGAGTAATGGTGGGATTGATAATTCTCTATGATCATGTGCATCCAGTGGGTGCTTTTAGTCGAAATGCTCATATAGATGTAAGTCTACTTTAAATGTACTTATGTGTGAAATTTCACTTATAGTATGAAGTCTAATGAATCTGATTTTATATTGATAGAGGACAAAGTCTGAGATTTGGAATTATCAGGACTTCAACAATTTTGAATTTTGGAAGTTCTGGGATTTTTAGATCATTAGATTAAATCTAATCAGATGACATGCAGAAATCGTAAAATTTAAGATGTGAAATGCCAAATAGTTTTTTTATGAAATAATCGAACATATATAACCTTAAAATTAACCATACACACACAAAAAAAGTTCTATAATTGTTATGTAGAGAATTCCCTCTAAACTGTCAGTCAAAATCTTTTTATTGAAAACAACCTCTTTGTCACTTTCTTTATCATTTATAGTGACATTTTCTGGATTTAAAATCATACTGCAGATTTCAGTGTCCGTTAGTTGATTGATGATTGAAGCATTGTGATCGCAATGAAAAACATTTGTTTTGTCATCTTTATTTATTATTGCTTTTCTACATTTTTTTTTTTATATATATATATAAATTGCATTATTTCAAAAATTTTGCCTTTTGCTTGTAATATTCGAAAACCTTCATATTCATAGCTATTATTAAATATGATAGCCATTTGTAGCCAGCTACCATTAAATATGGCTATAAATTATGCCAAGCAGATTTTAAAATATCTTAAGAAATGTCCTCCTATGATCTTACAATGGCTGAACACAGCAGATTTTAGAATAAAATATTAAAAAAATTCTTGAATGGTCTTGTCATTTTTTAGAAATTTAACATAGATTTTTAAAAAAGGCTACTGTGTTTCTACATTTCATGGTGTGCAGTGCTTGGCTATGCATTCCTATCCTGTGCAATTCTCTGCGTATTGTACGAGCTGAAATCTGTTGGAAAAAGCCTTGGTTGGTGATCTGTGTCAGTTGAAGCACAGTAGAGCCCTTGTTCTGCCATACAATTCATCAGAGACACTGCTGATTACTCTTTTGGAAGACTGAACTCGAACCACAGTGATTTTTTTTTAGAGAAGGACTGTGGGTTCTGATTCCAGCTTTTGAAAACCTCTGATATGGCTGCTTTTAAGAACCCAGCGAGTTTTGCTGTCTTCGAAATCGAAGCCTCTGCTAAATAGGCACCAACAGTAAGCCCTTTTTCAAATGGTGAAAGATCTGTTGTTTTACTTCATTCATTGTAAAAAGCGCTCGTACACCATACTTATACTAACATTCTAACCAGGTGTAACCCACGTCATAAAATCAAATTTGCATACTTCATCCCTAGCATGCACTCAAATGAAAATCTGAAAGGTTTCTAATTCATTGGCCAGTGTGTGTAGGAGCCCTACAGTCATCTATAATCAGGATAACTTCTACCTCATCTGGTAAACCAACTGATACCAGATGTTGCCGAGATTCCGTGTGAAATAATTGCAAACCAATCATTTATTAATGATTGTTTCTTCCATGCAGTTTTAATTAAATCAAATGGAAAAAAAATATTTTTTCAAATGCCCAAAGTCATATTTTTCCGGACTGCAAAAAATTAACATTTGGACTTTTCTGCAGCATTTGCACTTTCCAATTCCAACAGTTCTTAGCTTTACTTTGGAATCATTGACATCAGTTGGAGCTTTCTTGAAGAGGCCCCAAGGTATTTTGGGCACATATTGCCAGAAAGACTAGTTCAGAGCATGATAAATTTGTTCTAGAGATAACTTTTGCCTGTTAACAAGTTTGATAAATTCATCTGTGAATTTTTCAGCTGTTTCAGTATCTGCGGAAGTTTTTTTCACCTGAAATTTAACCTGCCTCCATGGCATGGCAGTTTTAATATTTGGTTAACTGATCTGGTGAATATGTGCCTCAGTTTTTAAATTCATTTCCTCGTGAAATATTTTGACTTGAGCCATTAACATTAGACCTGTCAATGTCATGCCCTTGCTGTGATGCTGTCTCATCCATTTAATCATTACTTCATTATGCTCATCATTTTTAACATAACAAATGATTTTTTTGTTATTCATTGAGAGTGGGTGTCAAAATTCATCAAAAAAATTTAAAAAAAACCTCCTCTTTCTTTTTTGCTATATGCTGTTCATTTTCACTGGCATGCTCCTCACATAATTTTGATGTGTATATGCATTTATCCATTTTTTATTTGATTTCAGAAAATCAGTCAATATGCTTTCTTAAATGTAGGTTTTAGTTTCTTTTGTTTTGGTGAAAATGTTGTGGTAGCTGTATTAAGAACAGATTCAAAGCAGTTATTCCCTTTAAGTGATTTTGTAACAAAATAATGTATTCCTGCAGAAATTTTTGAAGTATTTTCTTTCATTTCAGGTAACTTTCAAGGTTGTATTATAAAATTGCTTTAAGACAAAAATATAATTTTTTTAAATCTATTTCAATGCAATAAAAGTAAAGCACAGGAAAATAGCAATATTTGCTTGCTAAAAAAGAACTGTGACAAAGAGTAGTAGAGGTTCCTAATGTCATCCTGCGACACATTCTGCCAAGCATTCATCAGTTGTCGCTTCAGATCTGCGATATTTTGTGGTGCTCGGATCTGGCGGCCTACCATGTCCCAGAAATGTTCGATTGGTGAAAGGTCTGGTGACCTTGCTGGCCAAGGAAGAGTATCAACTGCAATGAGATAGTCCAGAGATATGCGAGCAGTATGTTGGCTGGCATTATCTTGTTGAAAATGGACCCAGGATGACGTGCCATGAAGGGTAATGCAACTGGCCGCAAGATTCTATCGGCATATCGTTAAGCTGTTAAAGATGTATGGAGGATGACTAAAGATGACCTGCTCTGATAAGAAATAGTGCATCACACCAGGGATTCCAGGGATTATGGTTGTATGCCTTTGTAAAACAAAGGCTGATTGGAACCGCTGGCCCCGTCCTTTCCCTATACGAACACGGTTGGTCATCACCGGTATCTGTCAGCATTATCCTTATCTTCAGCGTAGATGTTTTTATTTTATTTGGCTTACAATTCCTTACTAAATGCAGTATTTCATCTCGATGTACTCCGTCTTTGATATGACTTAAATCAAATTCCTCGTCATTATAATTCGCTTCCGATAGCGAAGAAAGTAAAGTAAACAAATAAATATTAAGCTTTTTTTTTTGTAAATTTTGATACCCTTTAGATCATAATTGTTCTTTATTTCATAAATTACGGTTTCATATTTTTAATTTTATAATTTCTGCATGCCATCTTACCAGATTTAAACTGATGATCTATAATCCGGAATCGCCGAAGTCCCGACAGGTCCGTATATACAAGGCGTATTCGAAAACTAAGTAGTTTTGGGAAAAAAAAAAAAAAAATAGTAAAACAATTTTTTCGAATCCAATTTTATTTTTACATGAAAATACATGTCTTAAACTATTTTCAACATAGTTTCCGCCAATGATCAAACACTTGTCATAGCAGGTGACCAGTTTTTGTATACCATCGTCAAAGAAACTTCCCGCCAGTTTCGATAACCACGAAAGTGCAGCATTTTTCGTGTCATTGTCAGATCCAAAGCGCTTGCCACCAAGCTCGTGCTAAATGTGCAGGAACAAGTGATAGTCAGACGGCGACAAGTCCGGGCTGTATGGCGGGTGATCGAACTGCTTCCAATGAAACTGTCGAATTAACGATTGAGTGACACCAGCAGTATGGGGCCGAGCATTGTCATGGAGCAACACAAATTCCTTTACTGAGCATTCAAGCGGTCAGACACGATTTCAAACAAAACAGTACGTGAAATTTGTGGAAATGCCTCTGAAAGAGTTGTCATAGTGAAGCGTCTGTTCTCATGAATTGCTTCATCAACTTTCCTTACCAAATCATCGGTGACAACAGAAGGCCGACCACTCCGAGCCTCGGCGTGGACATCACTTGTTCAAACATTCTTACCCACTTTCTCACCATTCCATCACTTATCGCATATTCACCGTAAACTTCTGTCACTTGACGATAAATTTCGGCCGGTTAACATTCCTCGCGTTCAAAAATTTAATCACGGCACGAATCTCGCAGTCAGCGGGAGAACTAATTGTCTTAAACATTTTGAATGTGCACAGCAAACTGAAAACACAACATAGAGCAACCAAAATGGCGACAATTGAAAGTCAGTGAACAAGAAAGACTAGTGCGCATGCGCGGGACGTCTACCACAGTGCTGCGACGGCGCTAGAATGAAATGGTACTTAGTTTCCGAATACGCTACGTATATAGGATTCCTTGTTAATGTGGTTGAACCTTAAAATTTTGCCTTAAGGAGCATGAGGTATATGTTAAGAAAAAAGAAGCACATAAATCCTCTGTTGCCCAACACTGTTGATTAGAAAATCACATTTTCCTTTTTTTTCCACAGCCAAAATTATTCAAAAACATCTTCATTGATGAATTAAATTTTCTAGAGTTTATAGTGGCAATTATTTATAGTGGCATTTCACATTCATAAAAATCAATTATAGTTAGCAATCCCAATTTCAATTTGTCTTTAACCTCAGTTTTTAAGCTATTTATTTCATATAAGTGTTCATTTTTCATTGACAGATGATGCCAATAGCTTGACTTCTTTCTTCTCATTCTTATTGCCTTAGCTTATCACTGGTGACTCTTTTATCATTTGCACTTCTGGTGCTGAAAAAGAAAATCTTTTCAAAGTATAATACCAATTTAGCTAGATGACTTTTTAAATTCTTTGTGTTAAGGACATAACTAAATCTAAACTCAATAATTAAAAAAATTCCTTATGATAGCGCTCACTTATTTTTCGTAATGGCATAATCATTATTTATATTGTTATTTTTTTTTTTTTTTTTTTTTTGTTGTTGTTGTTGTTGTCACTAAAATATGCTGCTGACTGTTAAAACTGCTGTACAATAAAGGAAATCAAATAGCAGAATGTTATTTATTGCACATATACAATATAATGAGAAGACGACATGGTTAAATTTGTAAGTGTGTAGAATTCAGAAGACAGAGCTGCCACGTCTGGCAGCAACAAAGGCTGTAATCAAACTCGACATTGAATTGAACTGAGCTTGTACAACAGATACGGGTGCTTAACCATCTGGCTTCAACTTTATTCCAGAGTTCATCAATCATAGTGGCTGGCGAGTGGTAGTGTGGCAGTTTTTTAATAACCCATAACCAGATAATATGAATGGTTGAGAAGTCTTGAGAACATGCTGGCCAGAAAAACAGTTGAACACCCTTTGTATTGAGGAAGATCGGGACAGCATTGGAGCATACGGTCATGCACTATCTTATTGAAAGGTGGCATTATGCAGGCCTCAAAGATAGGGTGCATCCATGGCCTTATCTTGTTGGAAATGTAACTTACTGGCTATGTAAGCAAGAGGTGACCAAGAAGTGTATCCAGTGGCATTTCATATGAGCACATCAGGTCCTGGGCCCATGTGATGATGGCAGTATTCATTTTCTTTGGTGGTCACTGATCATACACCATTATTTCTTTGATGGTCCTGCCTAATTTTTTTAGCTATATTTTTATATCGTTTTTAGTATTTTATGAGAACATAAATTATTCATTTACTCATAATTGGTCTGATAACTAGTTCATTATGTTTGGCCTGGGCAAACTGTTTCACTTACTTATCAAAAATCAGTGAAAAGTCAGAGGAATTAAAAATTAAATTTCAATGTAAACTCTGTAAAATTTTAAGTATATCGGAGCTTAAAAATTGTGCTAAATCATTTTAATGTTAACTTTCGGCTATTATTTTTGTTTAGGTAAAAGGTTGTATCAAAGTATTGAAAGATCAGCCAACAAATGTTGTGGAAGGTCTCTTGAATGCTTTAAGGTAATGTTTAAGATTTTAATATCTTACCAACTGATGTAAATCAGTTTATATTGAAGTATTTTTATGTAAAACATCATTAAAAAGCAGTGAGTGTGATTCTGAACTAGTCTCCTTTCTGTTATGCATTTATTTTTTAAAATGTGCATATTGAATGTTGCATGAAGTTTTTATAATGCATGTGTTCCAGAAACACTAATTTTAGACAAATTCATGTTCAGACATGCCTTATCTCTTTATATAAGTATTATTCTTGTAAAATACTAATATGTAATTTTTGCTTTATTAGATATCTGTTAATCCCTATTATTGCATTCATTTTTTTTTTTTTTCTTTTCAAATGAATTCTCAAAAGTCATTTAATCAATAAATTGAAAATTATATTGTTTCCACAAGTTATAAATTTTTTAATTATTTTTAAGAGAAAAACTATTTAATATAAATCAGAATTATTGCCTTATAGATGATGTCCTCTCAGTTCTTTTTATAAAGGCACATTTTTAGAAATCTTTATTATGAAAGTATTGTTTATTATTAATATAGTGTCGGATATGATGAACAATTATTTTCATTGTTGCTAACACTACGCAAATTTTCACACTTTTGGCAAACACACTTGCATGCAACGTTTATTTTGATTTTTAGATATGCTTAAATATGCAAATCTGTTGGCATCCTATTCTTCAAAAATTGAGAAAGTAAGAATAAAAACAACTATAGATGATGTTCTCTCAGTTCTTTTTATAAAGGCACATTTTGGAAATCTTTATTATGAAAGTATTGTTTATTATTAATATAGTGTCGGATATGATGAATAATTATTTTCATTGTTGCTAACACTACGCAAATTTTCACACTTTTAGCAAACACACTTGCATGCAACGTTTATTTTGATTTTTAGATATGCTTAAATATGCAAATCTGTTGGCATCCTATTCTTCAAAAATTGAGAAAGTAAGAATAAAAACAACTATGCAGTGACTTTCGAAATCAGGATGATATCTTTAAAGATAAAGAAAGAAAAAAAAAGTTCAAATGATATGAGAATAATTATTTTATAGTAAAGCACAATGATTCAATTTCACAGAAATGATTACTTTATACCAATCATTCAATATGTGTATATGCACAAATCACATGCAAACTTCCTATTTCCTAGGTCTTGAAATTTTAAGAGTTTTGATTTCAGTCTCTGGTTTTAGCGGTACAAAGTGAAATTTACACGAGAAGTTAGAATTAAGCAAAAAAATATAGTTAACATCTTGAGTGGCATGACTGCCCTTATCCAGACATGAGATTTTTTGTCATTTAGTACATATTAGATTATAATTTAAAACATTTTGCTTTCTTGTTTTCTTTAATAATGTAAATATTTATGAAAACAGAGACTTAAGTATAAGAATTTAGCTAGCAGAAACTGTTTAAATACGGGTTTCATGAGCAGATCAAAATACTATGCTATTAATGGGTTAATCATATGCATGTTACCTACAAAGTTTCTAACTGCCTGGTGTTGTGAGCTTCAGGATTCCTTCAGCCAAATGTCAGGCTTTGAGTCTTAATAGTTAATTATATGTATGACTTATATCTTACACATTAAAAGTTATGTAATTTTAGAAGCAATAGTTTTTCCATTATTTATTTATTTTAATCATGAATATTATTTAATATGTAAATTTGAGACAGCAAAAATGACAGTAGCAGCAATTGTATAATGATCTTCAAAATTGGCAGAAGATAGCAGTGTGAATAGCAAATAAGTAAAAGCCATTTTGGACATGATCTGTGGAACTTTGTCTTATCTAGAAAGACATTAAAGTAACAAAACAAAGTAAAATATTCAGAAGTAGGGAAGAAAGACTTAATATTTTGCAAGCTGAATTTTTTCCCCCTTTAAAAAAAAAGCTGGATTTTGGAAATGATTTCAAATCTCGTTCTAAACTGCAGTGGTAAGATTTTCATTGCTTGGTGTATTTTTGTTGTATTCACCACAAAGTTTAAAATTTTTCAATTTTTGCGGGCTTTAAGATTTTTTTGACACAGGATACGAGACATTGGACTTGCTAATTATGCAACTAACATGCCACACATTGAAAAATGAACGGCTAAAACAATATTTTTTTTTATCATAGATAAAGTTTTCTACGTTCAGTTGTTTATCAGCTTGTTATTAGGTTTATTGAGTGATTTTCAGAATGACTATTTAATTAAAACATAAACAACATATGTGTAATAAATATATAGAGAGATATACTTGTAATATATGTATTGTAAGTCATTATTCTTTCTATTATAAAAAATCATTGAACTGTGCCAAAGTGGTTGCACTAATATGTAAGTACAGATGGTAGATGTAAAATGAAAACAGCAAAAAATGCATTTTCAGGATTTTGATCAGAGTTAAGTTTATAATTAGTCCAAAGGGATTTGAATCCCGAAGGACTATTAGTTTCGTTTTGGCATTTTGCGTTGGACTCATAAATGTCGGTTCACTTTTCAAACTGTTGCCACAAAATGTTAGAGTCCTGCATTATATTTGAAGAAATTAAATAATGAAAAATCTGCATAAATGTATGTATATTTCTTATTCTATATTGTGATAAAACAACGTACATAGAGTCATCGAATTTTGAATACATAATCCTCCAATGAATATAGCATGTGGAAGACCAAATTTGAAATTTGTTTTATGATCGATTTCCTATTTTTTAAAACTTTGACGAATTTTTGATTAACCAACTCAAGGATTTCAAAGCGAGCAATGGCAACGTTTGTGCAGAAAAACATTTTATCTCCAGCGCGTGAGTCTCTGTATCGGAAATTCTAAAGAGATATGCTCATTTTAAAACTATTTTGCGATATTGCTGTTGCACTGGATCTTATGGTTTAAGTGCGAGGACCATGATATTTAATAAAGAAAGGTAACACACAAAATGTTAAAAAACGCCCCTTTGGACGTAATTTAAAATCTGAAACATTTCAGATTTTTTTTTTTTTTTTTTTCAATTTATTATTAACATAAAATGAATAGGGCTGTGGAGTTGGAATCGGAGTTGTGCAGATTTTGGAGTAAAAGGAGTCGGAGTTGGAGTCGCTAAAAACGGGTTGACTCCGACTCCAGTTTTTGTTGGACAGTTTGAATTTAAAATGAAATTAAAGTGAATTGAAAATAAATTAATGACAAACTGAGTTATTATTTTTATTTATGGACTACATACATTAGTAAATAATTATTTTTTTATTTTGTTGACATATTAATAAATAAATATATGAGGGAGGCAAATGGATGTGATATTTGCCATCAGTGATTAAACTGATTCATTTAGTTACAAATCTCACTGGTAAATATACAGCAGCAGCGATAGCAGCAAGAACTCCCAAAATTTACACCATTCTTAGGAAAAGGAGCAGTTATTGATCAAGCAACGTGATGAGGAAGTACATATTTGATAATATAGTGGTTATTAGAATTAAGAACTTTTTTACAAGATGTAGATAATCCTAATGTTTCACTAACACAAAAGCTGTGGAATGATCTTTCAGAACTGGAAACTCTTCTTTCTACACAGCATATAGCCACAAAAAAGCTACAATCTGAAGAATTAACAGGAGGCGAGAATGGAAGAATGTGGTGTTTGTTCTTTCTGAAATGGAGGGTTAATTGCAGAAGGAATCATTTCTTCAATGAAGAAAAAAGAAACTAGTTTGCTAGACATTGAGATCTTGCCAAGTTCAATATATGTAGATCCAAAATATTGAATTTTATTGGATGACGAACAAATTGAAAAGGCAAAGAAAGCCATCTATGAACTTTCAATAAGAATGAAATTATTTTCAGAACAATTCGAATATTAAAATCAGGACAGTCAAACTGCAGACATTGCAACTGAGTCTCTATCATCCTCTTTCAGTGATGAATTAGATTTTGAGAAATATTTTTGTATAATATTGAAAGCAAAGCTAAGGCAAAGCGAATGAAAATAAAGAACCAAGAGCCTTTAGATACAAAAATGAAAACATGCAAACAGGATTTCTACACAGACTTTGAAGAAATAGAGAAATATGATTGCGCTTGCAAGACGCCTCTTTTAGAACATATAAAAATCTATCCTTAAACATTAAAAGAAGTAGCTCTAACAGTAACAGCTCTTCCTGCTACTCATGTTAGTGTGGAAAGACTCTTCTCAGCTGTGAAGTTTATCAAATTGGATTTATGGTCTTCCAACAAAGAAGATCTTGCTGAAGCTGTGCTGTTTTTCAGAAATAACTAATTCCAGTTTTTTCATTTCATAATAAATGCTAATTAATATAAATAATTTGCTATCAATTTTATTCTGCAGCATCTTTTACTTCGTATGTGTTTACACACATATATATATGAGGGAGTCGGAATCTTTAAAATTCCAGGAGTCAAAATTGGTCATTTTTCCTACCGACTCCACAGCCCTGAAAACAAAGATACTTTGTACATTTTAATTCTAGAATTATTATTCTCTCTACAGGTACACCACAAAGCATTTAAATGATGAAGCCACACCTAGACATATAAAGAGCTTACTTGTGTGAGACCAAAGTGAATGTCTGGTCATACTAGAATTAGTTTATTCTTCGAGAATATTTCTGATATGATTGCTTGTGTCATAAGAATATTTTGTCAGCTTTTGCATATGTGTAATAATTGTTTTATTCATATATTGTTTATTTTTTTATGTGTGTGTATAAAAGTATGGAATTTAAATTTTGTTGAGTATAAATTTGAGGCTTTTCTTTTAGTGGGTACAAAAATAAAAGATTTCGTTTTGTCGAAGTAAGCATTTAACCTACTATGGAGAATAGTGTGTGAAAAATTTTTGAAAAAGATAAGTTCTCATACCCTATCTGAATCTATTTTGGGGTCAAAATTAACTGAATTTTATTTCTTATAAATAATATCTCAGTCCTGTACTGGAGCTGATAAAATAAAAACACTTTTTTGGGGGGAGGAGGAGGTAAATGTAATCAAATATTTTTTCTTAATTACTTAAAAAAAATTATTTGTGAAAACATATACGTATAATTTTATGTAACATGACATCACATCAATTTAGATTCTGTAGCAAATTTCATACTGCAAATTCTGCATAATTCTTAATTCACCCACTAATTGTTAAGTGTCAGATCCCTTATTTGGAATTTTTTAATATTAATCCAGTGAATTTTTGTGTGTGTGTGTGAAATATTTGTTATAATTAAATAGTATGAAAAAGTTATATTCCAATACTGATTTAGTTTTTTAAAAGAGACTATAGAGAAAAGTATTTTTCAGTATAGCCTCAAATTTTTTGTTATCTTTTTTAACATTTTGTTAAAGTACTTTAAATATTTTTGTTACCCATGTGTTTTTATTGAATTCTTTAATATTAGCTTTGCTTTTGTTTTTATTTGTGAATTCAAAATTATTAGATGAGTTTATGGTGAAAAGCAATTAATTTATAATTTAATTGTAAAATTTTTATGATCCTTTTTACTCATATCATTATGTGGTTTTTTATGTGATACCTGCAAAAAAAAAAAAAAAAAAAAAAAAAAAGCTCCATTTGAATAAAGATTAAAAAATACGTTCAATTAATATTTATTATTTTGCTGTGATAAGTAAACCTTTTCAGTACCTTACGGTGTGGGATTTAATCTGGAGCATAAATTAGAGACTACAAAGAAAATTCTTCGTTTTAATTATTTTCATATTATATGAAATACACTGACTTCTTTACATATTTTACAAATTATGTAAGGAAGTCATATATTTCTGTTCTTAAATTTGTTTGGAATTAACGTATGGTTTTAAGAAAAATTTCATGTATGAGTGCAATAAGTTTGTTATTAAGTGTTATACCAAAAAACTGTTAAAACATATTATTTATAAATAACTGAGAAAAGCTAGATTTAATATTTAATGTTGTGCAGTTGTGCTCTGATTTAAGATAAAAATAACACCTCAGAGTAATAAAATAACGTTGATTTTACTTTCTGCTTCTTATATTTGCATTTCAGAAAAGAAAAATTTAGTTTCTATTTTTCTGTAAATAGAAGTGTAACTATGTAAGCATTCAAGAAATTCTTATTCAAAGGATAAAGCAGTACATGAGGCAGCATTTGAATATCCTGCTTGGTAAAACGATTTGTACTGTAATTTCACTCATGTACAATCTTCAAAGTATTAGGATTTATTTTTGAAATTTTAGACATTTTATGGCTTGTTATATAATTTCAGGTTTCTCCCATAATGAATGAATTTAAATATACCAAGCTAAGCATTCTAAGTAGAGTTTCGTTTTAAGGAATTTATTTTGAATGTATTTTTCCCCCCATGTATATTTTATATTTTGTTGAAAACAATTTACTAAACATTTTATAAGTATAGCTGTCAATATATATAATTTATAATCCTTTAGACCCTTGCCCCAAATTTGAATTCAGATATGAGCTTTTTCTATAACGTGCATTTAAATTAACAGAAGATCTGCATATTAAACAGTAAAAAACTTGAGGTTGTAACATGAAATATCCTTATATTTTTAATTTTTGGAAAGTTGCTTAACAGTTGACTGCTGTGGGGGTCACCAGTGGCCAGCACTTGACTTAACTAGCGCCGTGGGGGCCACCGGCGATGCAACCCATAGTAAAAATAGGTAATTAGAATAAATATCAGTACTGATAAATTTTTAAATAATGCCATTGTTTCAATAATGGTTTGAAGAGCAATAAATCTCAAAAATGGTGTGCAGCACCTCGGGGGTCGTGACCCCCGAGGTCACAAAAAATAGATTAAACACAATTGTATATATCACCTTATCTTCTGTAAATAATATTTCAACATAATATACATCGCATAATAAAAAATTCATGTTAGCGCTAAGAGCAACTACGTAAAATGTGCACAGCAGTCAACATGTTAAAAAAGATTTTTAAAATTTGTGTGCATAAAAAATATACAGTGGCTGATTGCTTGTTAAATTCCATAAAGCAGTATAGTATCATTTTCATTCAAAGTGGGATATTTTAATGTACGAACTTTTTGTAGGTAATTAGTGTGATGTATATATGTATGTATTGCTGTCAGAATGAATTTATTCATGATATGGCTAATATTCTATGCAAATTTACAACTGTTGCATTAATATAACTTAAATTTTTTGGTAACTGCTAGATGTAGCATTATACTCTGAAATACTGTGTCAAAAATACCGGTGAATAATAAGGTTGTTGAACAAAATGTTAAGAATATTTATGTGAAATATATATATATATATGGCCTTTGGCAATATGTTTAGCATTTACTCTATAACCCCCTTTTTTTATTTCACTACTTTTAGGGGGGAGATAATATGGTATACTTGATTCATTGGTAATTATCATAGCAGCAATAATGATTTTTTACGATTGTCCTTTTTATGGCAGTGTTGTTATATGTGGGAGAGGAAGATTAATTTTTATGTTTTATTGTCATTGTGAATGAAATTACTGTAGCAAATGCAGTCTATTTAAATTTCAAATGCTCAATGCTTATTATTGCCCGTCTTAGATTTTATGTTAAACGTGTAATTTGTTAACCAAATCAGCCTCCCCCCCCCCCCCCCCGAAAAAAAAAGTTAAAATAGTGCAAACATGATTTTGTTTATATCAACTCCCCATAAACATTACTTATCTGCCATTGAACTGTATAATAAATTATAAATTTATGTATAGCTGAATATATTATAATACTTGTTGTAATATTTATGTTAGCCTTTGAATTGTCCCCTCTATTTTCATTAGCATTAGAATTATTTTTTAAAAATTTTGTAATGCATTTATGGCATTGCTGTTTTCATAAGTGCATGATATTTTGAGATGTATCATTAATATATAAGTGATGAGTTACTACAGTAGATGCCGGTTAATGATATCTCTTATATATTGTTCTTGAATTGTCAAAGTAACGCATGTTTTTATATGAAAATATGCAAAATACTTCACTTACTGTAATCAACAATTTTGTTAATATGATCAAAATATTATAGAATAAATTTTTTTAAACTGAAGTAAAATTCTCAGTTGAGGTCAAAATAGATTTAAAAAATTGGCAAGTGACAGAGATATGTTGCTAAGTTAACAAAAAGCACGTTTTCAGTGTTAATCAACATTTAAAATTTAACAAAAAAGCAACTTTAGTTTGGCATAGATTTAAATAACTGTATGCTTTTGTGGTTAATCAGACACAGGTCATTCTTCTTCTGGAGGGGAGGAATTCAGCTTCATTTTTGCCCTCTTTTTCTTGCTTCTGGAGAGGAATCTGTGAAAACATCTTTGCCATCTTTTCCACCTTCTGCCTACTTTTTAATTTTAGATTGGCATGTTTTCTTTCAGCAAGGGATGTGCACCAAGAATTATGATTAGGAGTTTAGCATTGGTCAAATAATTTCCAGAAGTGTTATGAGCAGTTCGTAAATGAACTTTTGCATTAAAGACATTGTGAAAAGTTCATAAACAAATTTTTGCATTTTCCTGATTAAAATGATGTGATAATATGCTTCTGGTTATATTTATGTTAAATTACTTGAACACCATTGCTATTTTGAAGAACCTTTTTTTATTTGTTTGCTTTCGTTTAATGTTACTAAATAGTCATGGATAAATGGGATCACATTAAGCGACACTTACCGTAAAACGTTTGTATATTTACTGTAAAAAAGTTGCTCATTTTGACAAAACATAGTAGCATAAAATGTATAGCTAGCTATAAGCAGAGACTTTTCTTCTCCTTCAAAATGATGGGAATGCTCTTGCATACTTAGTCTTGATTAAATAACATATGATAGAGTTGAGTATTAATCCCTGCTTATCAAATTTAAGTGTTTCATTGTTCAAAATTTCTAAAATACTATTAGGAAAAAATAGCTGTACTTGATTTTTTTTAGTTTAAAAGCATACTTACCCCATTTTCAAGCATTTTTTATGCTGACGTTTTTTAATATGAAAATAGATTTAATCACTATTTCTTTCGAGTCAGATTTTCTATCTGAAATGAAATGAGATTGTTTTTAATAGTAAGTTATATAAAATGTTAAATATTAAGGAAATGTGTAATAGTTAAAACAGTTCTAAAAATTAGAAAATTTGACTTGATCTTTACATCTAAGAAGAATTGATAAAATTTGTGCGTAGAATATTGCTTGCTTGTAACTGATGCTGTGGTTTATTTTTGGTTGATACTAAATCTCAGAATTATTTGATTAGATAAATAAATGAATGATGCAATATAATGGGCATAATAGCACATTTTCCACGTGAATAAGATCAACAAGGTAAACAATTCACAAGAAAAAAACTGTACTAAAGGGACTTCTAATCTAATTAAGCGTTTCTCAAAAATTATTCTTCATATGCAAAGCAAAAAATTTTTGATCCATTAGAATACTTTTAAGTTTGTATCAATGCCAAGGCATTTATTTCCTAGTTGTGATTGATGATTTGAACTAGTTTTTTAACTCCAGAGTAGTATTGTCTAAAATGGCAATTATTTAATATTTTAATTAAATAATTGTCTAAAATGACAATTATTTAATTAAAATATTAAAATGCAAATCTTTTGCAATATCATTTATAAGAATTTGTCTTGCTGAATTGAAATTCAAATTCCTTACAATGTTGCGACTTATCCTCCTGATCTGAACAAAGTTTAGAATTCAGTGTGGTCAAGAGAGAAAATGTTGTGCATGTTGTTGGCTAAGGCCTTGGGCACTTTTTGAGTGAGGAATTTGTGCTATTCAATCTTTATTTTGATGAAGAACACCTTTAGGGGGATGGATCCAAGAGATTCCTACTCTTCTTTCCCTACCACAAACCTCCCAAAAGCAGCTTTGGGCTTAACAGTATTTCGAGCATTCTCATATCTCTAAATGCTATACAAATATCCATGTCTCTTATGAAGCCTGGGTCCAACACTGGCTGTGGCAGCTGGCTGTCCTATCACCGTGCCAAATGGCGGCATTTACAACAATATATGGCTGTTAACTAATTTATTGAATAATTGATCATTTTGAATTTTTTATCCATCTTCATATGATTATGCTATTATATCTAAAAAGTGTCTATAATTGCTTTCTTATATATATAAAATGCAGGCAAAATAATTTTTATCTATGAAATAATGCATTTATTAAAAAAGATGAGAAAGTTAATTGTAACTCATGCTATAAAATGTTTCAGATTTGAAAAAAGGGGGGAAATGCGCTGTATGCTAAGACTGAGCTTTTTGTGATGTCATAATTAAAATTTAAAAAAAGCAGATGCAGTTTTTCCTCATAAACCTCTTTTGGGAAAGGGACAATATTTGGAAAAATATGCATATGAATTCTCA